TGGATAAAGCCGATTTTTTCGGCTTTATCCATTCCAGTTACTTAGTGCATATAACACAGTACATCCCTCAACTCACTGACCTTCGTCCTCGCAAAAGTAAGCGTCACTGTTTCGTTCGCTCATAGAGTGGGTCGTCCCCTAGTGCGTCCGCCCTTACGCCACTTGGAGTGGTCTGCCATAGAACGTGGTTGCGCTGGCATGCACCATGCCCCCCCCCTTTCAGCTCATGTGTGCATTTATCGCCTTGGCCTCCTTTACAAAACGTCACGCCAGATGAAGATCGGTTCGAAACATACTTAAGTAAGCCAACGTCCACTGTTGTGCTCATGTACTGATCTCATCTTGTGCTCGAAGATAACAGGCGATTGTCCTTCGCGCAGCAAATCTTCGTATTTTTTCAAGTCGTATGAATGGTGAAGAGCTCACGAACATTGTAGAAACGGGAGATATCTGGTGTCCTGACTCAAGTGTCAATCACATACGGTACCGCTTTTAATAATTGTGAAGCTTGATGGAGTAGGGCTACACTCATGTACAGTAGAAAAGTCTTCAAAAGCAGAGCTACAGTACTGTACAAGCTTCTTCATTGTCACCTGCCAGGTAGATTATCAGCAGTCGTGTCAGCACTTCTTGCCGTGTGGGTGAGTGTAACACATGTACATGTGCAAATCAGGAAAGAAAATACTCGCACTCGTAATTGGAGAGCAGATGTCGCCGAAGCGTTCCTTTACACACCACTGACGTTCAAACACAACAACGACATGACCCTGACGTCGGAACCGCGGGGGCTATCTACATTTTTTTTTTCGTAAGACGCTTTTGTCAAAACTCTCAATTTCGCGGGGGAAGTGCATTTCAAAAGCACATTTGCAGCAAATTTGGAGTCAGCCGAGCCAAAGCAACCGCGTCATGTGGTGAGTATTCGCTTTTTTCGAGCATGCTGCATGTATTGCTAAAACTCTCAGGCATCCTGTATCCGTCGTATGTTGCAACAAAATGCTGAAGCTGTCGTGTGTTGCGTCAAGTGATTAGACTGCAAGACGGTCTACTAAACTTAAGACTAAACAACGGTTGGTATCTCAGTTTCCAGAGCTCAAATGACGTTACAACAGTTGTAAGAAACTGTCAACTCTACTCTGGCTTACAGCTTGATCTTGTAGTAGTCACTGACTGGAATGTGCTGCGCAGGTCCGTAGAAGTCCAAGAACACAATGTGCTCGATCTCCATTACGTAGAAGCTGAAGTCGTGATGTTTCGGCCAATGTTTCATCTGTGGATGTCTTCACAATGCATACACCTTTTGTCAAAATCTGTAGCCTTGCTAAAATCCCTCCAATATTTCGTACTTGGAGAAGACAGCACGTTCAGCATAGTTCCGTTGGTTTTCGTTTACTGGCACAACTCTCCCGGTCATTGAGAGCCGCCAGCAGGTTGGATCTTCGGCGTCCATGAGGCAAGCTTTCGCACCCCCTTGTGCCTTTGACAAAGCTATGGTCGCGCTCGGATTCGCCTTCAAGTCCATCGCTGCATACGATGTGGTAGTTTATAACCAGTCTCTTACGACGTAGCATAGCGTTTCTCACCTGTGAAGTCATCAACTGACAAGTAGAAGAACAGAGTTCCTGTGGCGTCCTCCTTGGCCACACCAACGCCATCTAAAGACACTACCGTCAACGAACTATTGTCTACAGTGTGCACTTATGTTGTCACCGTCTTACCGCTGTAAGAAACGACGTTTGCAAACGCTGCGCTCCCGAAGGTGACGGACGTCGTTGCCATTATCCCCCAAACGTTCTCATGCACGAGCATGCGCGCGTGTTTGGCGTGAAGTTTAGCGAACGGGCCGCTTTCCGCCTCATCAGGAACCAGTGACGTTGTCTCGACGCTGTAGATCTCACTTCCAGCAGCGCCAATCAACAGGCAAAGCAACAAACAGAGTGCGGACGGAGACATCGCAGAGTTCTTCTTAATTCGGAAGTGAATCAATGAATTAACAGTAAAAAGAAAAGATCTGATTGGATAATGGCATCAAGCTTGTCAACTTCAACATCGAATTTCCTTTTTTTTCTTGATATTCTTGCCACGCAGCGTAGTCTAAGCCTGCGCGACAGTGATCGTCTGGTGGAGAGTGTATGTTTGTCCGGCGGGTAGCGCCTGCTTCTGCGAGACGCGGCCGGGCTCGACAGCGAGCATGTTGATGTACTCGTCAGCGCCAAAGTCCTTGAAGGTCTTGGTTAGCTATTTTTGGGGTCGTTTACGGGTAGGGCCTGATAATTGGGTCAGGCGGGTTTCCTGACGGCCCTACCAAACACAGGACCAATTGCTAAGCTACATATTGAAGTGAAAGATACGAAGCTAAGCAGTTGGGTTAGAATGCTTAGACCACGATGGTCTGCGCGGCACGAGGTTGGTCGGCTTCAGTGTCGCCTTCATCGGCATCACTGTCATTGCTGATCACACCTGCGCCCAAATTGGTACTAGCAGCGTCCTCTTCGCTGCTAGTACCAGAGACGCCCTCGTTGTCATCATCACTGTCGACGTCTACAGCCTCGTCATCTTCTTCACTGCTCGATTCTTCTTCTTCTGTAGGAAGATCCTGTTGGAAATGGAGCCTGACCCAATAATCAGGCCTGACCTGTATACGACCCCGTTAAAATTCTACCAAGGTCTTGGAACGCTCGACCCACGGGTTCCAGATCACAGCGTCGGTGTCTTGCTTAGTCTGGGCCACTCCATTACCGATAAAACCGGATTTCTCGATGACCACTGTGCGGTCAGCAGCATTGACGCCCTTGGAAGAGACCGTCAAGGTCGACGGAGCGTTGTAGTAGATACTGTCCGTCTCAGCAGTGATGCTGAGCTCTGCATTCTGTGTCTTGTTCACCTTAGCGACCTTGTCAAAGTACTCGAGACCGGAGAGACCGGCCACCTTGGTCTTTCCGTCGCGAACGTCGTCCACGTAAATGTAGTTGTGCAGCAATGCGTGGAAGTCGATCTCCTCTGTGTGCGTGTTGTGTACAATGAGAGCCGTCTCAAGTTGATTAGCCGACAACTTGACCTCGTACTTAAGCTCGAAGTCGACAGGCCACATCTTGCGGGTCTTGTCACTCGCAGCCATAGTAAACGTAGCGACTGTAGAGCTAGCAGCGTCAGCAGCCTCTTCAACACCGGCCAGCGTCCAGTTGGTCACGCGAGCGAAGCCGTGACCAGGGAGACCTTTGGCACTTCCGAAGTTAGGGAACACGACAGGAATGCCGCCCATGATTGGGTTCACGCCGTCCAGGAAGGAATGTTTTAATAGGAAAATGACGTCGCGAGTCGGGTCTTGGGCCGCATGGAACGACTTGACATGCGCTAATTTAACTGCACGAAATTGCAGAGTACAGTGTTCTGTATTCAGTCATTTAATGATAGCTAACCAGGCGAATGGGCACATTGTATCAATTCAAGGTCGTTCTGGGGAGCTTGCAAGTCAGTTCTGACTACAGATTTGCTGTTGTGGTAAGTCTGGTAATATTGCATGTACTTGTCTTAAAGCCCGATGAGAAGAGGGGCCTTGACACTGGCCACTGGCTTGCCTTTAGACCAATTCCAGCAAGTCAGCATCCAGTCGGGGGACCCCCTTGAGTTAGAAGCAACTGATTATCAGCGCTGAAGGCCATACTGACGTAGCTTCGAGCCTGAGCATCGGCAGAGCTCAGCACTTTGCGTTTCTTGAGCGTCTTGAGGTCGAAAATACTAACAAGCGCTCGCTCGCTGCGCTCTGCAACAGCAAGAAAGCGGCGACTGGGAGTTAAAGCTGTAGCAGTGACGCCCTTGGAGGCTTCCGTGCCGGCGATAAATTTCTGGCGCTTATCGTCCAGGGAGGGTGCGGCTTATCTGCTATACAAAATCGGATGCTTTTCAATACAATTTCCATTGGATGGAAATCGATACTTCTGTATGTATTATGCAAAGCATGTGGTATTAGAACTACTATGGCTATCACCACGATGTCGTGAGTCACGCTTCGACTAGAAAAGACGCGCTGTAACGTTTAGCCCTTCGTGATGGCACTTGTTAATCAGCGCAGCCAATTGATCCACTTCCAGCAATTCCCTAGCACCATTGTTGAACTCAACCGCCCAGTTATAGACACCTCTTGGCCCAATACAATCTTGCTCAACCATTTCGCTGGGAACAGGACCTAAAGCAAATTTTAATTTAGTCAAACATATTATGATAAAAAAAGTTTAATATTACCTTCGCAGAAATGACCGTATCGGGATATCTTTTTGTCACTGTTCAGCAAAAGGATCGCTGGGAGGGTGTCATTCACAGCGACTGAGGTCGCTGCATGTAGCTGCGGAGTGCACACCGTTTTTATCACTTTGTTGTGGGATTCGATGGGGTTTTGTGACGGCAAAACACCAGGCACATAGAGCGCCCAAATACTGGCTTTCGAACCAATCTGCGTACGCTTGTTCGTTTTTGTCGCTCCAATATTTAACTATACGCTCAGCCATTGCCGTAAATTGTTCTTCGGTACGCGCTTGCTCGAGGAGGTATATATTCATCTCGACGTAAGAACTGTAGAATCCAGAGTCATTCAATAGACCAGCTTTTTCGAACGCTTTTCTGAAAAGGTGTGGATAACAATTAAGTATTTTGATACCAGGCCAGATGGAGGAAAAAGCTGTAGCAATGTAGGAAGCATGATCTTGGCTTCCGTACTTCAAAACCAAAGAATCGTTGAAGTAATCAGCGACGAATCGTTTAGCTGTAGAGAAAAACGTTTTGTAGGCAAATTCATGCTCCGTACGCACAAACATGTACATCCAAGGTACAAATGAATGTCGGTAACGGTTTCTTTCATACACAGAGCAAGAACTGCCGAGTGGTACCAGAGTCCAGCGATCTTTTATAAACGTAAATGATATACGTGGGTTAGCAGCTGTTATATATATTTTGTAATTATTTAGTAATAACACTTACTGAAATCGATGCGGTAGGTGCCATCGGTAACTCCAACGAGACCGGTCTCTCTTCGATCACAAATACATCGGTACAGATTTCGAAAAAGACGTCGCGATGTGAATATAACACCAAACGAAGTTTCTTTCCCGGTGTCACCATCAAACTTGTGGTCAAATCTGTTTAATATGAGTAATTCATTCTGAAAGTCGAGACTTTGTTGAGTAAATGCCGCCAAATCAATAATCCCCAAGCTTCCGAAAAACTTGTCAGCCGTAGTACACATGTGCGGGTGGGCCCACTCCATCAGAACTGAAAAACTTGAAATATCCCAATTGTTTTTTAGTTTCTTCTTCAGACTGACTTTTCTGTTCTTCAGTTTGATTTCGTCTGGAATCTTGGCTAACATGGTTGGGTCAAGTTTATATTTCTTCTGTAGTAGAAGTACGCATCGTTTGGACCTGCTCCACCTTGAAGAATGCTATCCACCTCTGGTTTTATCTGCATGTCAATACCAGACCTCTTTCGGTGCGTTAGCAACTGGCTATGGGTACCACTAGATTCTACTTCGTATGAAGAAGTCGTTATGGAATGAGAAGAGTTGAACTCTGAAATCTTAAGGATCCGTAGCCGACGAGAACGCGCCTCATGCGAAATGCAAGTGTAGACACTCTTGCGACGTTCTGACGGCCCATACGTACGTAGATGGATGTGTCGACACTGTGTAGCGCAGAAACAGCAACATCTTCTGTAAAATGGGTTGAGATAAACCGGAATGAAGTATGTGCGACGTTAGCAGAATCACCCTCAGGCGGCGAGACCTCTGGATCTTGTCCATCGTCGCTCATGACTGCAGTTCAGTGTCTGTTGGCGAATGCGCCGTCTCGTGTCATACCAGGATGTCTAAAAATATCAATATGTTGTAACACACACAGCTGTAATATAAATAAACGGGACAGAGTACATCAAAACCACTTGAAAAGCATCCTTTTTTTAGAGGTGTTGAGTTCAATCTTTTTTTGTATTGCAAATAATCTCTTTCCGTCCAGGGAGCACACGATAATGTGGTGACCGGCTGGATACGCCACCGTTTGGTCGTCGACGAAAGCCACATTCGAGTGGGCATCCAGTTAAAGACCGAAGATGTGGCTGAGCAGATACAAACGGTCAGTGAGGTTGCCGTCGTGAGGACTAGGAAGGACAGCGTACGCTTACCGGGGTATGAGATTGACCGTCGCCATAGCACGCACGTCGCCAGCGGACAATCGGTGAAGTTTAGGCTGAGGTCTGTCGGTTGGGGAAACGTTGCGTATTTCGTGGGCATCGCTGCGGTTTCATGCCGTGACCCAAGCGCCTTGGAATCCAACTTGGATGCATCCTCACTTCTTGCCGTTGGAAACCTCCACCAGACCAACGAGTCGTTGGCAACGATCAACGTCGCCTACCGGTATACCTACTTCGAAGTACACGTACCTGCTTACGGACGCACCGTGACGAATCAAGCACCACTTTTAATGCAGTATACTGTATGATGTACTAGCACATGTACGTTGCAGCATGTCCCGCTGCGAATCGCATGCCATAGGCACCAGGATACATGTACAAGAAGAGGCTGCGCCACTATGACTTGCCGGGCGACGATGCTACCGATAAAGACGTTGGGCCTAACGTTATCGTACGAGAAGCTGAACGAACAGAAATCATCCTTGAGTACATTACGTACCTGGTGATACCTCGCTCGGGTAGTGACTTTTGAGTCGCGACAAAGAATAGAGAAGCTGGAACTAAAGACATGTATGTGTATATTGCTCGGTTGTAGGGCTACAAGGACTTGGGCTATCTGACCTGCCGAGTGACGACCGTGCAGCTTGAGAGCTGTCACTTCCATGATGAGCTCACGGTGGATGGAACATATGTGAAGCAACTGATGCAGAACAAGTACCCGGACATATTACATGTATTGCCGGAGAAGCCACGGGTAGTGAGGGTCAAGACGAGCATTGACAATTTCGCTGCTGAGAACAACGATCCTGTGCCGTATGGGCAAGGCTTTGAAACGTCAAGAAGTTGGGTGGTTGTGGACAAAGTGATGGCATCCAGTGGGTGTTCAGCAAACGACACCTCGTCAGGGATCGACTAGCAAGACATTGAGAAGTCTGCTGAGCCTCAGGGTGGTTCTTAACCACGTCACACGTGCCATGCCATGACATTAGAAATTGAACTATGACATGGCGTGGTTATAAATATAAAAGCCCTCCCATTGCGCAATCATAAAAACTATTTTTAGAGCATACATTAATGAAGTTAAAAGGAACATGGCTTATGGCAGTTGGATTTTCTTGCCATTTCATTTACTTTAATCTCTAGCTTAGCCAACATTTATCCAATCGGATCACAGCGTTTCGTCACTCAGCGGCGATTTGCAAAATAAAGCCGATGGCTACATCTATAAAGCCGAAAATAAAGCCGATATCTGAGCGGTAAAGCCGAATGGCTACATTTGTTTACGCCACCGTATACGTCCCCCGGATGAAATTTTGTATATGCGCTGGTGCTGGGTATAGGATTGCGATACGGTACTTTCACTGAGGATCCTTTTTACACAAGACACTAGCTGCAGACTTCCTTCCAGCGTCAAACGTGCGTCCGAACTTCTGGCCAGGCACGAGATGGGACGTGCTCCCAAATATGAGCGACAGCAGTTTCAAGATATTGGGCTACCCAAACAGAATAACAGACAACAACTAGTGTGTAAGCACTGTTTGTTAGCATACAATACGAAGGTGACACAAGAGCGCCCTAA